CAAGGCTTAGCCTAGGGACGTCACCTTCCTTCTTAGGTTTTGGAGCCGAGCGAGGCGCCGTTCTCTAATCGTCTGCGCTCTGGCCTTTCGCGGCAGAGAACCCAGGGGAGAGTCCAAGTAGTCACGTAATCAATGGAAAAATTCACAACTCGGTTAGGTGAAAGTCAAAGGAGCAGAAAAATCGACGTAGCTAAGCGATGTTGAGGGAGTTCCCAGCATGCATGACGTGAGCGGGAGACCGTCCACAATGGGCGGCGCGTGTCTTGATGTACAGAGCGTTTCCTACAGGTCCCCATAATTCGGTTCCGAGAAGTTTCGGAGAGCGGAAAGAAGGTGGATAGAGGTTAGAGAAGAGGTTGAATGCTGAAGGTGGGCGCCGTGAGCACAAAAAAGCGGAGTTTGCTAACAAATTTGCAACTTGGTTGCAAAAAGCCGTTAGGCCGGGAATAAGTGAATGGAGGTCGGCTAAGGAATTGAAGCTAATTGCTATAGGTGGGCGGAGCATGCACCAAAAAAGGCTGGGTTATCCACAGAACATTATAACTAGGTCCTAAGAGGTCCTAAATAGCGAAAAAGTGGATCGAGTCTCACAACGGAAGGGAGGTCAACTGCTATTGTGTGTGGGACGTGGGCCAGTCGGGCGTAGTTTGCGTCCAAGTTTTAATTCGGTCCCGAATTCCTGAAGAGCGGGAAAAAAGTTTTCAGAATTCAGCGACAATGGTTGAGAGAAGATGTGAGAAGACGTCGGTGGATGGAGCGGTTAGAATCCAGCATAGAAGTCAAATATTCGTAGTATAACGGGACAAATTTGAGTTTACGCCGCACCAACCTATATATAACCGCAGAACTGTGTTGAGCGAGCAGCGCATGCGGCACCAAATGGCAGCTAGTAGAGGGGAAAGAGCGTATTAGAAAATGCATTGTTTGCGGGGTGAAAGCATCTTTGAACAGCACTCTGATGATTGAAAAGTGAGAGCTTGACTATCGAGATAGTTTCGCCTTTTTGAACCTGCCAACAAATCCATCTGAGATTTTTTTTATTATTTGTAACGCGAAACGTGTGAATGTTCACATGGAAGAACCAATGGGATGATTTTCTGAAGACGCGAAAACTCAAAAAAAAGTTTGGGTACAACCTAGGATGAAAACAATTTGTAGTCTTTAATTTTAAGAAAGACTTTTTAGTGGGAAATGTGTTCATCCCAATGAACTCTTAACTCTCAACTTTATTAGAAGAAGAGTTAAAGATGCTGGGCAATCACTTACTGGAAGCAAACTTCGACCTCTATAATGTTCTGCTTCTGGCGAAGTTGCTTTAGGTGAAGGCTTCAGTATAGCCTCATATCTCTACGATCGTCTTCTCAGAGGGATAAGCGTGGCTCAAGGGCTGAAGAATGTCTTTCAAACTGCCACTGGCCTCCTGTTCCCAATGTTTTTGTTCCTACGGAATATTAGGGGGAAGAAGCGAAAACCCAAACGAAAGAAATGAAACGTCAGGCCAGTAAAAAGACTCCATCTAAAAAGCTCGTTGGCAGAAGAACATTATAATCACTGATTGGATGGTTAGATCAGTCGCTTTTCGACGCCATAGGTAAAGAACTGTGCGCTCCAATGGAAAGCTAGCAAAGGAGCTGCACGTTGCCTCATCTCTACTCAAGTACATGTTACGGAGAGCGGAGGGCAGGGGAGGCGGGATGTATCGAGACTCTTAAAGGGTAAGGGGGTCGTAAAACTTCCGAAACCGGTTCAAAGTGACGGTTGACCGCGGCTCGGGGAGGCTGAAATAATCAAGGCGGGAGCTAAGATCGGATGCATGTCAATATAGTCGTTTGCAACCCGCGCTGCTGGTCATGGCCGCGACGTTGAAGCTGCATTGGACGTGTTTCTGTGTGCGCCATTCTAAGTGAACGTTAGAGGAACTCCGTGAAGCCGCCTCTTCAACACTCAACTTCAATCAATGCGCGCATAGTTACAATTTCTTCAGACTTTTTGTGTATTTCAATATTACTATTATGAAATCGAATTTTGCTCACGCCACTTTCTACGAATAAGGCAGAAAAGAGCATGGAAGTTGGAATTTGGTATCCGCGCCCCACAGAGATTATTGTGGGCTGCAGGAAAGTCTCTGCTACTACGGTCAAATCCAAAAAAAATTCCGCACCTCCCGAAAAATGCCGCCGTTGCCCCGTCGAAGTGGCCGTGCGCGGAGGTGCGACGACTGGACGATTCACTTGACCGTTCCCTATTAAGAGCTGGTCTCCGATTGGAGAGTTAGTGGAAATCAGGAGAGGCGTAACTGTCAAATGAGGGATCGACACCACACGGTCGTCGTAAACACAAAGCTTTAGGGATGGCAGACATATGTATGGTTTTCCCACAAAAACCACATCATCTACTTTTGACGTCTGCTGCAGCGAAATAAAGTAAAGTTTAGTATTCATTGTCATAAACCGTCATTTTGTTTGAAATTCTAATAACATAGTCCACATAAATTTATTCGGAGTCAAGCGGCTTTGATGGGTCGTATATGATCTGATGAGAGAGAAAGTCGTATGTACCGGGATCAATGGGAAGAGGAGGGGGAACTCACATTTTAAAAGCTCTCGACGGCTTGCCTTACGCTGTTCACCTTGAAATGTGTCACCGACATGGCTACGATTCGAAAATGACGTCTTTTTCATGAACTCTGTATGAAGAACCAGGCATTCACTACATGGTAATATAGAGGTGGTATAGTGGCAAGTGGGCCTGCACAGCGCAGGCATTATCCGTCGGTCAGATCCTACGTGGATCTCCATGCCAAAGAAGCTTTCCTTCCGGTGATTAGGGCATATCATCATGATGAAGAGCGCCGTCGCGACTCATCCGAATTGGAACCTCGCTTAGAGGAATACAATCATGATATGTACATCGGCTAAACCGGAAGTATTATAGTTGTTGGGGTACCCGACAGGAGGCACGTCGCGTGGCAAGAAGGCAAAGTCGGCGGACGATTCACCGCATGATTTTCAATGCAGGACGTACAGTGGTACATTCACGCGCTGCGGCTCGTCCACTGACTGCCTTGCTGCCGCGGACGGGCCTCCTGTCGGATATCCTAATTATACAGGTCGCACAAATGATGCAGTGATTTTAGTTAACTCTTTCAGCCCTGTATTTTTCCGTGGAGAAAAATTTCTCCTCGCTCTTGTTTATACCTTATTCGCACATAAATAACATTCAACGAAATTTGGAAGCTTTTCGACCGCAAACTAAGAAACTAGGAAACTTCGAAAATTAGCACAACTTCTTTTTTAGCTTATGTCGAAACAACTACATATTTCTTAGTTTTGTCGAATTTTGATGAATATATGAATATAGAGGGGCGGCCAAAAAAGAGACACTTCGCCCATTTCGCACATCACTGAACTTTTCCTCACACAGGGTGCCAATGTTAATGAAAGTTTTACGGCGGAATATTCCTTAGATGTTCCCCGTAAGCAGAAGCAGACCCCCCTTAGAGTCACTTTGCTCATGGCGCACATCAAATTTTTACGTAAAGTTTAGGATGCCGTTGTTGGTGAATGTTTAACGGTAGAATATTCCTTAGGTGTTCCATCATAAGGAGCACCAGGCCCTCCCTCCCCGCTCCGACCGTCTTCAGAATATGACGTCATCTGCCACCACCGTCGAGCCCAACGAGGCTTGCCGTAATCGCTCCGACCTGAAGCTGCTTCATAATGGATTAACTGTTGAATAGCTTTGCAGAGACATCAGCTGTGACTATGCAAAACCGCTTTTGACCAGCATTCCAGGGACGTCGTAATGGTCTATGGTACCTCGACGACCTCGTTTAGCTCTTATCGCGAACCATGTTTCCGTGGGATAATCTTCTTATGTCGTCGGTTTAGAAGGCCACCATGAAACGCTTAGATATATGATATATAATATATGAATGTGCTTTTTAATAATAAGTTCGGGACATCGATTTGATTTCAGCAAAGTGTGATTAATGCTGTCCAAAATGTGGAGTGAAGTGTCTTTTTTTTGGCCACCCCTGTCCGTCAAGTATTTTGGAAATTACTGACACTCACACAGCAGCTTACTGAGACCTGCGCCGGTTCATTGTTACACATGTACACAAATACTTGTAATGATAACAGCAACTCAAAATGCCGGGTCCAGCATAATTAGGAGCGGGAAGGTTGTCTGAAGTTAACTCTACAGTGGGTAGTAGAAATATACTGCAGTGGTAATGCAGACATCTGAATTTGATAGTGGCAGTTGCCACCGCCAGGGCCGAAAGGGGTAAAGCAACAGCATGTGTGGCACATCCCGAAACGGACTTAGCCAGCGTGGGTGCTCTATCCTTTATCCTTCAACAAAATGACGCGGCTCAAGTAATAATAAGGCTTTTCCATCACCGCCAGCCCAGTGCGACAGCCCACTAGCCACTGGACCTAAGAAAAGAGCGTCAATTGAGGTCGAAGAAACGTCGAAAAGTTTGCTGATTTTCAGGTCAACAACCTTTGAGATGATTTTCCACTGTAAGCAGGGCGATTGGAATAGAATGACCTGTCCGTGTAATTTTAGCAAATCGGAATTTTTCAAAACAGCGCACGTCGACCTTGACTTCGTTTTTAGTGTCAAACATCTCCTCGACTCCGAAGCATATTATTTGATCGTAATTCAGTGCTAAATAGATAAAATCTTAAGTGATATGATATAACATGTACGTGACCAAACAATTGTGCGCAACGTCTTACAAGTAATTAGTAGTAACCACATGTGGTAGCGCTCGTTGTATTGTTCCTGCTGCTGCTTCATCTGTTCGCGACTGATCTCTGAATCCGAATTGCGTGTTCCGTTGCCATGACGTTACTGGCATGTCGTATAGCATTGATTTCCTCGTTTAACTAACTATTCGCTTAAAGTCTTCACGTGATCACATTTTGGTAATAGTAATTCTGTGTAGTAAGTTCCATTAACCTTCGGAATTAATACGTGTTTCACAGAGGAAGATGCGTGAAATTGTTCACATTCAAGCTGGTCAGTGCGGTAATCAGATTGGAGCTAAGGTAAAGTTGAAGTCTCCCGGCTTTCCAAGCGCAAGAGTTGTTTCTATGTTCTTAAAGTTCCCCGGTTTAGTTCTGGGAAGTGATTTCGGATGAGCACGGAATTGAGCCGACCGGTATCTACAATGGTGATTCGGATCTCCAATTGGAGAGAATCAATGTTTACTACAATGAAGCTAGCGGTAGGTAATGTGAAACGCTGCTTCTACGACATCCAACCTGCTTGCTTATTCATTTAGAGAGATCCATTATTGTATATATTGCAGGAGGGAAGTATGTACCTCGAGCTTGCCTTGTTGATCTCGAACCTGGCACAATGGATTCCGTCCGTGCCGGACCGTTTGGCCAACTATTTCGTCCGGATAACTTTGTTTTTGGTGAGCTCAACGCTATGTGTTGATATTGCTAGATCTGACCATAGGAGACTACAGAGCTTCAGTGCCGCAAAGGGGCGCTTGAGTGTATTAGATAGTGTCATGTTTTTTCAGAATTTCTGCTAGAAATCCAAGTTTTTGTATCAAATCATGTAATGTTCAAAATTGCTTGTCAGCTTTTCGAATCGTCTTGTTTTACCTTTACATTCATTGCAGATATTTCAAAGTTAAGCTTCGCAAAACGTTCAGTCGGTGAAAATTAGCCCGACCTTCACCTATCTCTGACTCGATTTTGCCCTAAAGCCCCGAGGAGAAATCGACCAATGACGTAATCGTGAACGATCCACTACAGGGCCTTCGAAGAATTCGCGTTGTTACTTTTCAGATTCGTGTTTTCCACCACAACTAGATGCGTAATCAATATCGAGTCAAACTGAACCCCAAAAATTCTTACAGGCGAAAAAACTTGTGAAATGTCAAGAACAGGTCATGAGTAGGCTTAAAGTGTGTGCCTGATTGTTTATCATCTTCTAGGGGATTTTTTTTGTTGAAGTAATGTGATTGTTTTCGTGGGATGGACACCTTATCACGTGAGTCTAAAATCCGACCAACTGTTAAAATAAAAACAAAAGATATGAAAGAATAGTGCAGAAATAAAGCTTGCGAATGATTTATCAATCAAAAAAACCTCGGGTTTTAGAGAAAAAACTTCTGTTCAGAAATTGCGGTGGCGTCGCGGTCATTCAGAAAACCAACTTCAAAAAGAAAGATGTTAGTGGAGGTACACCAGTGCGCGATCTTTTCAGAGAAACATGGAGTTAGAGCTAGTGTCGGTTTGGCAAAGTTTCACCGACTAGACTTTCCAATTCGCAGGTTAAAAATTCAACATGTTGCTAGGAATGCGGAAAAATGCATACCTTTTCGTAGAGCAAACAAATTCCTTCGGTATAGTATATACGTACATGACATAATGAAAGTATATGAAAAATGTGAAAGTTTATTTTAGCAGAAAAGTTCCATTTGAAAAAATACAGCACTACTTATAGAACAACCCTTTAGTTACAGATGGATGGAGATTACAGCACTACTTATCAGGGTCAAGCGTGCGTTGAGGAATCCTCGACAACAGGGGGGGGGGATTGTATTGGTCCGCTGGGAGGAAGAGATCGGGCCAGATTGACGCAGTAGGATCACCGTCAGAGAACACCGCTTTGAAATTCTTGGTTACTTCAGTGTTTTATCACCACACAAGTTTAAGTATCCGAAAATGGCAATTTTTCCAAGGGATATTTTTTTGTTTCAAGTGAGTCCTCAAACCCGAAGGGCTGTGAAGCACACGGCGCATCCCAGAGTGGGTCCAGCTGGTTGCACGCGCTTCAGCTACGGCTCTCTGGAGAAACAATCTCAATTTAGGATAGAACACGAGAACTCTGAAAGGGTTCATGTGAAATTGCAGGGAGGAGAACACCATTCAACAAGAAACGTAAGGTTAAGTGTCAAATTCACATTGATGTAATTGTCAAAGTTGAGACACGCTGAACAGTTTTACACGTTTTGGAAAGAGAAAAACACTCTGCTCCTACTTTAGTAAGAGATCGCCTCTGAAAGGAGCTATTGTCGATGGAATAGTGCTAATGCAGCAAAAAAGTACCTTTCGGCGGTGCTCGGGCAAAAATCCTCAACGTGGCCATTTTTTAAATAGTGAACGTATTTAGTAGTTTTAATAACCATTGGGGAGAGCAAATCTTCTAGTTTTGTCTGACGTATTAACTTTTTAGATTGGATGAGTTTAGACGGAGTTATGGCTTTGGAAAGCGTAAAAACTCGCACTCGTCACGAATTTTCCTCGTTAATTTTGCGAAAATCCTCAACGTGGCCATTTTCTAGGTACTGGACATATAAAGCTGCCTTGGCAACCATTTGATAGAGAAAATCTTCTAGTTCTGTATGACGTATTAACTTTTCGGATTTGACGAGTATGAAGCAAGTTATGGGTTCGGAAAGGGTAAAAACTCGTGCTCACCATAAATTTTCCTGTTAATTGATCTAAATTTGTTATTTCTCATAAATTTTCCGTAATTTCAGGTACGGTTAAAAAGAGCTCTTTACAAAACTTCCAAATCTGCTTTCAGATTGAAAATTCGTCATATTTGAAGAAAGTTATAATCGTTTGAATATTTGTTCAAATTTCAATAGTGGATAAGCTGCTCCACGGTCAACGCTAAAGATCAGCCAGCACACAGCTGGCTATGGCGGGTACAAGCCTTTTTTCAACTGAAAGGGGGAGGTGTAGATTGAGAGCATACACTGTGTAGTACCAAAATTTGATAAGTCTTGCGAAGGGAATAAATAACGAAGAGATGTTGTCATAGTATCCCATTTTCAGTGACTAGTTTGACGTTTTTTGCTCCGTTTCTCGTTTGCTCGTTTGGTAGGGCTCATCAATAATGACTATTCTTTGACTTTTTCACTTTTGTACTTCTCAAATGAATTTTTCCGTGAACGGTGGAGTAGCAGGGCCTTTTTATGAACGTTTTGGTGGAGAATTAAATAGCGTTTTCATAGCTCGGCTTTTGAAGAGGGTCGTTTCATAGAATTCGGCTTCTGGCGGAGGGAGGGGGGGGGTCGTATTTCCAAATTTTCCTCGACGCCTCGCTTGACCCTGCTACTTATAGAACAACCCCTTAGTTACAGATGGATGGAGATTAGTGACCTTCCTTCCAAGTTTCCTCCTCATTTCTAATTTTTGACATTTCTCACTCTAAAAACCGTAAAATGATTCTAGAAGCAGTAAGTTTCATGCACATCTATTGAATTGACACATTCTTAGATTACGAAATATTATCACTTAACTTGTTGTTAGTAGCTGCCATGTTGAGTAGAGGTTAGGTGTTGTAGAGGTAAGTGCAGCCATTTATCGCTACCCAGAGTGGGCGAGATCTTGGCTCAACTCTCGCCGAGGCTTACTATTGAATCTTCCCTCTATGCGGATTTTAATAATTGGGTATCAGACTTGCCGGGGGTTTGGCTAAACTGAATTGCACATTGGCTGACCCCTACAATTTATGGCACAGGTCAAATCGCATAGAAATGCCTTTATGATTCCAAATGGATGTACTGAAGTGCCTGAAGTCTCTCAGAAAGAGATTAACTGACAGCAAATGCTTAACCTTATCATATTCTTGTGTTTAGCTAAGCATCCTGCTCCTCATTTATTACAATATTTGCACCAGCGCTTTAAGGACAGAGCTGTTAATTGTAGAAGAATGGCAAAGGGCGCAGCGTTGGATACATTCGGCTAGCTTACAAGCTGATAAGTGCAATATGGTGAATTAATAAGGGCAACCAAGTCGATGATATTTTATAATTTTTTATTTTAGGCAACAAGAATTAAGGTGAGGATCAAGTAGTTATAGAAAGTAACTGGTAGTAGTTTCTGCCTAAACTCAAAGAACCACCATATTTCTTCATTACCGGAAATCTCATCGGTGAGCTAGTGTTGATGAAAACTAAGAGCTCGGTGGAATATGCTGAAAGCTTGAAAAAAAAACGTAGAAAAAAACATAAGTATTCATGAGATATAAATGAGGGTAAAAAATACAATTAGGTTGAGCAATAAATATCCGCCGTTTTCTTCAGGCTCATGTCTCGTTGAAATTAAGCTGATTATTTTCGAGGGGTTATGAGGTAGTCTGAGTGCTCAATCTCTTGTAGATTTTGATTTACAACACTTGTGAAGTTACTTCACTATGGATCTTACACACTATTGAAAAAGATTGCCCCTGCTACTACATAGTGCAAGTTGAGCTGGAAACCGAATGCTTCTGAATCCGCTCGTAAATCAATGAAGCCTGGGATGAAGACACGGTTGCAGAGAGGACTGTTCGAGAGCGTTTGTTGATTACTGTAGTTTTTGTTTGGTTTTGCTAATGAATTTATGAGTGAAATGAAAACGGCGGATAATTATTGCTCAAGCTAATAAAAAGAAACGCAAATCAAAAGTAAATCTAGTGCGACTAGCCTAAGTAGGCAGCGATCCTTTTTCACACGTACGACCGCGCGTATTTTACGTTTTGCGGGCGCTTGGGATTTCAGTGGATTTTTGAAAAATTTCATCAAATAAATTAGGAACAAAAACCTACTGAATGATTTAGAAGAGATATTATTAGATGAAAAGGACACAAAAACAGACGGAATTTCTAATACTTGTTTAAAAAATGTGGGTCATAAGGTCCCACACGGTCAACAGAGTGCACGGACTCCAAAATGTTCCATTCATATAATGGGCGCGTAACACTATGGGAAACCTTACAAAAACTACCCACCCATTCATTATTCGTTGTTGCAAATGCGTTCAATAATATTAGAGGGAACAACTCCACGTGATTAATCCATTTTTTAGTACAATTTTCATATCTTGTTGTTTTATAGTGTCCAAAGAGGTAGTGTTAGCTATTCCAAGTGTTTCAACATAAGTGATCAATATATTACAGGTCAGTCGGGTGCTGGTAACAATTGGGCCAAAGGCCATTATACTGAAGGCGCCGAGCTGGTCGATAACGTCTTAGACGTCGTGCGAAAAGAGGCTGAAAGCTGTGATTGCCTCCAGGTGACGTCCGCTCTAAAAAACTACCTCAATGATACGAAATAATGGATAACTGGGAAATGGGCAACCATGTGAAGGGGATCGAATCATGAAGATAGCGATGATGTATTTAAACGGTCGCTGGATCCATTCTCTATGTGTTCATTTGAGGGTACACTAGGTTCTCTAAAGAGGTTATGAATTATACATGGAGTTCAGCTCTGAGCGATGCACTCAAGGGTTCCGTGACAACGTTTCAGTAAGGCAAGTGAGAACGCATTTTGACCAAAAACATGATCTAACCGGTAGAGCTGAACTGCTGTTCCGATTTGTGTACAGGAAAGGAAGCGAAGAGGAATATAATTACAAGTTTCAATCAGAGATTACAAGAGGTATTGCGATCGCTAAAACCAGTTGTTTAATATAGCAAGAAATGATGATGTTAATGCCATCCTTGTCCAGGAAGCCCTACGACATTTCACCCTACATTAGAAATGGTGTTTTATTTCAGGGCTTCCAAATGACACATTCGCTTGGCGGTGGCACTGGGTCAGGTATGGGAACACTGCTGATATCGAAAATTCGTGAAGAGTACCCAGATCGAATTATGAACACATTCTCGGTCGTGCCCAGTCCAAAAGTTTCCGATACGGTAGGCCTTATTTGAACATAATTATCAGTTACCTTAGTTTATAGTCACTACTTGGTAATTGATCTATTGGATAAGTTAGAAAGTGGTTCCAACTTTAATTTAGAATTGACAAGGTTCGTAGGTATTTCTTTCGGTATTTCATTCAGTGTGTTGTTTCAACGTTGAATTTCACAATTAACTGCTCAACTTTGTTTTCTTTATGGGTAGTATGTGTGTGATCACTTTTTACAGTACAGTACCTCCCATAACTTTGTTAAAAAAACGCGGATCCGCTCTTTTTCGTCTTTTTGCTATTATTTGACTTCTGATCGCTTTTCGACATGAAAAACTATACCATTAGACTCAGCTTGTCGAGTGCTATTAGAATGTCCTCTCAGATTTTAGAAAATTTCATTTTTCTATTCCAAAGTACCTGAGGCTACTCATTAGCGAGGCGTGGCTCGTATCATTACAGTCAGTCGACAACAGCTTCGCCCAGTCTTCAGGTCAGCCTTTTCGCTTCTTTTTTTTGTTTGGACTAGTATGAACAGAGTGACTAAACGTATGTCTTTCAAGTGCATGCTGATCATTTTATACTGATATTCTATTTAAGTTACTCTTTGTCGAAATTCATTTTTGGAACGAGTTGGCATCTTTGAAAGGCGAAAATTAAGAGAATGGGCCAACTCATGATCATCCGGCTGGATGTGTACCTCTTCTTATTACCCTACCCCTTGCTGATAGATAAGTTTCCAGTTCCTCTCTGCCACCATGCTGTCAATCTTCGGGCCCATTGTTTGAGTGGAACTTTGAAAATGGTTGGGGGCGCCCTGACCCTTGCCTTGTGTTGTGTATCCTGTCCACGGCGGGCTTGTTAACGCTCCACTTGGGTTAATTACAACGTTTATCTAAAGAAATAAACAAGTGACAAACAGAAAAGTGCGAAACATGATCTGACTATCAAATAAATCAAAACACGGTGAAGATTTGATCCAGTAATTCAAAAGGAGTTATCGCACAGGAGATTCTTATCACAATGAGTGGGAGGTGTTACAATAAGTACAACAAATATGCTAGATACAATAGTAATGATGATAGCATAATGAAACAATGAGACTAGACTATCGTGGCAGGAATAGTGAGGCCGATGACAGCAACAGTGATACCGTAATGGCGTAGTCGCAGTGACGCTTAGGGGACTTGCGGTGTTGCAGTGTCGCAGAATCGCCGGAATTATTAGAAGAGAAAAGAACCAGAGAAAACTGGGCTCTCGGCCTTTTCTCGCTCCTTTTATATCACTATTTTGGCGCGCGATCATGATCACCTCGGGTGGTCATCGGTTGACCACCCAATCAGTAAATCGAGTGGAAATCGCGTGGATTCCGCGATACTCCCCCCACACGAGAGTTGCGGGGCAGTCACGTTTCTGCGTCGTTGTCGCTCTTCTTGAGATCTGCTTGTTGGTTTGATCATCAGCTGAGCACTCTTCATGCTTGCTTTGTCCTTTCTCTTGCGATTCATCCAGTGCCTGCATTTTTGTTGACGTTCTCGCAATTGTGACAGAATGAGAGGGATATAAGAAAGAAGCTTCTGAAGAAAGAAGAGATTAATTGACATAATTTACAATAGAGATAATTGTGGAATAATTCTTCAACATCAATAACATCGTTACAACAAATTGAAATGAAATGAAGTGAAAGAAGTATGAAATAAACTTAACACCCACGATACAACGGCGTAGAAGGCAGCAGAGGCGGATGTGTCCATCCCGATAGTTTTGACCATGCTTTTGTCTGACCTAACTTAGTTCGCAACTGCGCTCCTTGACGTGGTTAGTCTTCCTGTGGTTGCTTTGCGCGGTCTCAAATTGTAGGGGTGACTTCCGTAATCGCTTCTTCCGCAGTTATCGATGAGTTTTTGAGTACTATTGTGTTCATCGTTGACTTCCAGTGGGATTATAAGGTTTATGGGTCTTTTCATTCTTTTCCTCGTTGAAGTGAGTAGTTCCACTTCTCTGATGACTCCGTCTTGAGATGGTTCCACTTCGGTTATGCGCGCTAATCTCCACTTGTTTCTTGGCAGGATAGGGTCGATGATGAGAACCAATGCTCCTTTTTTCGGATCGTAGGGATAAGCACGGCCTTGCGATATATTTGCTTTGTGTTGCTCTCGTAGGCTCCTTAAGTATTGTTCTCTCCATATCGTCCAAAAACGATTTATGAATTTGATGGATGAGCGGAGGGCATTCACTGCCTGTTGTCGCGTTTCTAAGGATATCACTTCGTCGAGAGGCAGATAATCTGAGTCGTGAACTTTGTCGTCTATGTCTTCGAATGGAAAGGTGAGGTTCATCCGATTCTGAATGAAGTCGATAGGCCTGAGTGAGCTGAATTCTTCATAGTCGGATTCTTGATACGTCAATGGTCGCGTGTTTATCGTTGCTTCCACTTCTGTTATAATCGTTTCAAGACTGTCGTATGAGAGTTTTGCTCGGCCAATCGATTTATAGAGGGCATGTTTGATCGACTTTATAAGTCTTTCGTAAAATCCTCCTTGCCATGGTGCGTAGGGTGTTATATGCTTCCATTCTATCGCATTTTTCGCCAGAAATTGAGAGACTGAGCTTTCTTTTTTCGCATCTCGCAAAATTTCTGCGCTCAGAAGGAATGTAGGTGCGTTTTCGCATGTAATAGAGGAAGGTATCCCGCGTCTGGAAAAGAATCTTCGCAAGGCGTTAAGAAAGGCTTCTGTGTTTATGCTTTGCAAGACTTCTAGATGGATCATCCTTGTGACTCCACAGGTGAAGATGCATCCGTAGGTTTTCATGAGTCTTCGCCATCTCTTGTAGGTGGCAAGTCGGACAAATCTATACCAATGTGCAATGATTTTCAAATGGTCTAAAATTCTTACTCTGCGTGAGGAAGCTTTCCACGAGTTTCTGATAGCGGTAGGGGTG